TAAATCCATCTAAAAGCATCTTCAGATGCAGGTTCTATATCACTGAATACTGATTTAATTGGTAACAGCCTATTGTCATATTATTCTAATTTATTTGATGTAAGAATTTAACATTAAAGATGACATACAAAAGGTAAAACATAAAAAAAAATAAAAAATAAAAAATAAATAAAAATCTGAAAATCAGTTGCCCCTTATGGGAAAGTTAATTTCTGACACTGATGACACTGGCTTATTGTTCGAAGTGTTATTTCAGGGTTTGGATATGTTCTTATAACTCAAACGAGTTCACCTTCAAATCATGACGTCAAATTCACATTTCACTAAATTCAATCACTGAAACAAGCACTCTGACGAACAAATAGTCCCATGCCAGTGGGATAACAACATATGATTTCCTAAATTTCTAGAAAGTGCTCTAGGAATAAAACAAAAAAAAAATAGATGTGCTGTGAAGGTAAATTACACGAAGTCATTTCTTTTCATATCTGTCATATTATTTAAGTTCCTCCTTTGTCTAAAACGCAGTGTATTGTCTAACACAAAAGTTATGACTGTATGTTCACATAAATTGATAGTGGTCTGTGCTTCACTACAATACATTCTCCCCGCGCTGCAGTGTGTTGCGCAGCTTTGCCACACAGATTTTGATAGTTAGCTATAATAGATCAGGCGGTGTGCCAAAGGACCAAAGGATCTACCTAGGTACGGTTTGTGTCAAGCCATTCATTAATCTGGCTGTTTGATGAAGAGAAAGAGATCAAATGTAGTAGAAATAAACATGTTAAGAATCAATAGAAGCGGAGAACTATTATTATGTTTTTTTTAAGGCCATTCGTTAATCTGGCTGTTTGATGAAGAGAAAGAGATAAAATGTAGTAGAAATAAACACGTTAAGAATCCATAGAAGCTGTGTTTTTTTAGGACTATTAAATGTTTGGTTGGCCAATCAGCGGAGAGGGGCGTTTCATTCCCGCCCACATGTAGAGATCGAATATTCAAGTTGCTTATTTGTTTTCTATCCCTGAACGTAAAAACGAAAAATGAAGCCAAATTCTTGATTTTTCGTTTTGTTTGAAAAGTTTGTGACATATAAACACGCACATCAACCCGATCACTTTATTTAACGTTCATGTAAACACTACATTCAGAGTCATCAATCGGAATGAATTCAGTCCGATTGAACCAAAAATTTTGCATGTAGTGTGGTCTCTCTCTCTCTCTCATTACATACAAATGCAAGTTATTTTTCTTTTTATCTCAAATGATTGCTGATTGTATTAAAAGTGACCTCAAAGGACTTCTGTATTAGTCCAAAATGTAGTACTGTATATGGGCAAAATAAGCAAACATTTTTCCAAATATCATCTTTTGCCTACTGAAGGCCACTGCACCTAAATCCCCTCCATGCTCCCTCTTTGTGTTTAAGCCTCCATGCATAAATCGTCTTTTCTCAGGAGGGTTTTTACTAGAGCTTAGGTGAATTCATGCTCAGGATATTGTTGTAGTTGTGTATTGAACCGTAGATGACTACTCATTATTCCATTCAGCACAGACGCTAGCTGTTATTTAAAATTTCCTGAAAATGAAAAACAGAGGTATGTCAGGGAAAGTCTGAATGAAATGGGATAAAACTGTGAAACTTTTCAGGAATCTACATTCCAAGGGAAATCCATTGGCTTCTTAAACAATGATTAACAACAACATCAAGAGGTTTAGCCAAAGTTTTTAGCAAAAGGTGCTTAAGGATACAACAAATCATTGTTCTAGGTTTTTCATATAGCACTTATGATGATGATGATGATGGCTTCATCTTTGCACTTTAAGTCTTAAAAATGTCTCTGTGCAGGGCTGAGGAGAAGGTGACAGTTCACTTTCTGAATCGAGATGGAAAAAGGATTACGGTGAAAGCTTTAACTGGAGAATCACTGCTCGATGTTGTTGTTAACAATGATCTAGATATTGATGGATTTGGTAAGTGGTTTAAAAATATTGTACATAGTTTTATTTGTTCAGACAACTATACATTTTTTCCTTCACACACTATAAAAAGTAAAAACATGCAGTTTCTTCCTGCTCTGATCCTTAAAATGGCATTGTCACCTATTGTAGTCAGGTTGATTCAGGTCGTATTAAATAATATTTATGATTTTAATGAATCCACATGAAAGACATTTTTACCTGACAAAACATTTTTCCAGTGCATATTGTGTACTGTCTATGAAGACTGCAGGTTGACTCAAAAAAAGCAAAAGTAAACGTATGCGAGTGATATAGAAAGGCAAAAATGATTTGGTCATCATGAACAGACTAAAGCTTTACAGGACTTTTTGTATGTAATCCAAAGGTAAAACGAGGTAAACAGCTAGAGAAACATTTGAATGCTTGTCATGGTAATGTAAGTGACTGTGAGTCTTGTTGCAGGCTAATATTTTTGTGTGTCTTTTGGGTTGTTGAACTAGGTGCATGTGAGGGAACTTTGGCCTGCTCTACATGCCACCTTATTTTCGAGGAGGGCGTTTATAAGAAGCTTGGAGCTGTTTCTGACGAGGAAATGGACATGCTGGACTTGGCTTATGGGCTTACAGACACGTGAGTGAACAAATCATGATCACAGATCATTTTAAAATAGTCTTCAAAGGCCATGCAATAGCTGTTGATATTTTTGTATTTAAAGATGAAGAATGTGTCTATTGATGTTTAAATACACTTTCCTATTCTATGTATGCAGAGACAACAATTAGTAAGCCATTCATAGTTTGATTCCCCTGTAAATGTAAACACTAGCTCACTATCATTGCTCTGTTTGTTTGAGCATTGTGACCAGCCCATAACTGTAACATTGGCCCAACCAGTGGAGTGAGTTAGAGGCAGAGTTATCTGTTTGTGATTGAAACCCACTTCCATATGATTCCAACACTTGCCGTAGAATTACTGACTTCACCTTAAAGGGACAGTTCATCCAAAAATGACAATTCTGTCATAAATTACTCGGCCTCAAGTTGTTCCAATCCCCTAAGACTTTCATTCATCCTCGGAACACAGTTGAAGATATTTTAATTGAAATCCGAGAGGTTTCTGTCCCTCCATTGACTTTCACTTTGAAGGCCCAGAAAGGTAGCGAAAACATCATAAGTTAGTCCATGTTACTCCAGTGGTTCAACTGTAATAAACGAAAGTCTTAGGGGTTTGGAACAACTTGAGGGTAAATAATTAATGACAGAATTGTCATTTTTGGATTAACTATTCCTTTAAAAGGCGCATGTACATTAAAAAGTGCACATCTTTTTCATTTTCTGTTATAGCAGTTCATGATTTGGCTTGATATGAATATTCATGGAAAATCTTCAGATTTCTTTTTTGCATGTACATCTTTCAGATCTCGTCTGGGCTGTCAGGTGTGTTTGAGGAAAGATCTGGATGGGATGATTCTGCGTGTGCCAGACGTGATATCTGATGCTCGAGTTGACAGTGAAAAAGAGTCCTCCACAGCCCCACCCAAAGTATAATCTATAAAATAAAGCCCAGCTGTATCTCATAAACACTGCATTATGGAGATATCTTTAATAACAGGTATTTTAATATGTACTATTTTAATAGAAAACTAAAATTTAACTGATAACATTTATCGTTTAATATTATTTACATGCTGCCGTAAGTAGTTTTTATAAATTTGGGGATTGTTGTTTTTTAATTGTGCAGACTCTGCAATTCTTTGTGTCACAATGAGAGGTGGGAGCATCTTGTTATACATTTTGAATGCAGAAATAACTGTAACTGATTTATTGCAATAAATATGATGTTCACCTTTTTAAGTTGCTTTTTTTGTATTTGAAAGCTGGAACATCATCCTCAAGCAAGTACATGTGATTTATATTTGAACATGTTTTGCTGTTATGTCTAAAAATGTTAAAAATGTTGACATGAGCACAGTGAGAATGTGAATTACTGAGCCGAAATATGTTTGCAAGAATGAACACGTGTTGAAAAATAAACTAGGGCACACACAAGTGGGATTACTAGTTTTAATAAGATTTATGGTACAAAACATAATGAAAATGTAGCACTGTATTGAACAGCATTGTTTTTTAAAGTGCAGTAAAATATTGTAATTATAAATCTATTTTTCTGTCAACAGTTTTGTATTTTACAAAAAGGTTTGGCTACATTTACAAAAAGGCATAACAATGCTCAAAAATCATCTTAAAATGAAATCCACTTAGACCTCAAAATGGTAACATTCATCTTACAAAGTTGAACTTAAAACTTAAGTTTTAAGATCAACAAGCAAAAATGGGTAATACATCCCTTAGGGCTGTCACTAACGATTATTTTGGTATTTCGAGTAATCAGTTGATTATTCTGACGATAATCTGATAATTTTTTGTGGTAATAAAATAGACCTAAGCAAACAATAGACTTTAAAATTACTTAAAATACACACATAATAAAAATGAGGCAATAATAGCTGGTTCAAATAAAATATCAAAATCAATTAATCACTTGTGTCTATGATGTATTATATCAAATGCCTGCAGAGAGCACCAACTGCCTGACGATTGTTTTTACAATTTACAGCACGATCTAATCCTTGTTTAAAATATTGACTAAACAACATTTAATTAAAATGTCCACTTAATCTTTAATATTTTTCCCCACATCTGTATTATAGAAAATGCCACTGTCATTTTTTTAACAAGAACATGTGGACGTCAAAACATGCAAATTCAGAGCAAGGGCTTAAACTTTTATTTTGAAGTCGTCTGTGGAATGCGCTACTTCCGGTATTTTGCCGGTTAATCGTTAAAGGGCAAAATGTAATCGATGATAATCAAGTATTCGAGTTTAATCGAGGAATCGTGACAGCCCTAATATCCCTACTGTATATAATCCTGAAAAGGTAATTTTGTAAATGTGAGTATAAGTGCGTGCCGTTTTTGAATGTTTTAAATGCTTCAGTTTGATTTGCATAAGGAGGAAAAGTGAGGAAAAAAAATTACAATAAAAGTACAATAAAATCCCATGCATATTATTCTAATGCTTGTAGATATTTACAAAAAAAGGCATTATAAAGCTCAAACTGCAAGTATTAATAAAATAGCTATTCCTAAAAAAAAAATTTAATCATACTGTAATCTGAAGCATGTAATTGTTAATTGTAAGAAACCGCAGATTATTATAATTAATGGGGTCCCAGTGTTTGTGCTGTTTTTGAAATGACTTCCCATTGGCTTCACACAATCCACTGGCTGCTACTGCAACAGCTGAGCTTTTGGCCTCTCCCAACAGCTTGCTTCTCTCTGAGTCCCAAGTAGTCCCTGACTATTTTTCCAGAGGAGGGGTGCAAATCAAGTGCTTTAAACCTCAACTGCTGCCCAGAAAGTTTGGTAGACTTCAAACCTGCCTTCTGTCCCCTGATTTTGTGCACCGTCAACTTGCAACTCTGTCCATAAAACACACTCTGTGGTAGCTTGACCTCTTCTTCAGTCCTGGTTTGACAGGTAAACCTGATGGTCTGAGGGTCAGGGGAAACCTTGGGGTCTCCTAAAGGGCTGTGCGTGGGGCTCCCGGGCCCCTTGTAGAAAAGGCCTTTTCCTTTATGTAAAGGCGTTTGAGTGGGAGTCTGTGAGAACGGTTTTCTGTTGAGCTTTTGTAAGGCCTGCTGATAAGGAGGAGGATTTTTGGGCATTTTAGGCTGTAAACCCCCTTTAATATCAGTGAAGTTCCTCTGATTATTTGGTGGAGATAATTTCTCATTGGGCAAACTGTTCGAGTGTTGGTAATCTGTGCCATTTTGAGTGAGTAAATCAACCTTGGCTGGAGAATCCTGAGGAGAATGAAGGGTCTTTCTGGTGGACAGAGAAAATGGACTGTCTATTGAACTCACAGGTGAGTATGTTGGTGAAGTCACTGGCGATGATACACTGGAGGTTGGTGGAGTTTGTTTTTCTCTCATGAAATTCAGTTGTTGAAAGGTTTGATCCAAAAACACATTATCATTGACCTCATCAGATCTCTTAAACTCTTTATGTTTTCCACTTTGTATGGTTATTTCCTGCTCATGAGAAGTCAAAGCAATGGTGGACATGGAGTGTTTGTGTAATTTAAGGGATAGGAGTTGACGCACTGCGGATGTACAGTTTCTGATTTGTGCCAATGGGCTGGAAGACAGCAAGTCGTTTTCTGGACAATCGAGTTCACAATCACTCAGTGACATGAGTGAGTCCATACTATGACTGCCTTTAAGAGGACGGGTCTTAGAAATGTCCTCTGTGTCAGTATTCACCTCATTCTTTAGACTCTCATAACCCGAATCTGACATCTGCTGCAGAGACCCAACTAGAGGCAGGAAGAGAAAAGAAATATATAGGCTGTAAAATATTAAAAACATAGTCAAAGAAACTGTGAAAATGTGCCATTGTTACTTTATGAAATTACAGTATATTGAACTGATCTGAGGTCTTCAGATCATTTTAGGAAAAGACAGTGTTGTTATTTTATTTTTAAAAATCTATTTACAATATTTTGGTTAATTTAAATAAAACATTAATATTAGATGAAAACACATAACGTAAATGAAAATTATAAATGTTGCCTTGGTAGCTAATTAAAAGTTAAAAATAAAAATTTTTAAATGTTAATGTTATTTTTTTTTAAATTAAGCTGAAGTACTAAAATTACTAAAAGTAGAATAATAAGTATAAATATTAAAAACAAAAAGCAATAAAACATTAATTGCATTAATAACTTTACATTTTTTTAGTGCTGGGCAACAATTAATTGTGATTAATCGCATCCAAAATAAAAGTTTTTGTTTATATAGTATATGTGTGTGTACTGTATATATTTATTATGTGTATATATAAAGACACACACATACAGTATATATTTTGAAAATATTTTCATGTATTTATATATATATAATTATATTCATATAATTTATATTATATATAAATATATTTAATAAATACACAACATATTTTTTCTTAAATATATGCATGCATGTGTGTGTATTTATATATACATAAGAAATATACACAGTATACACACATATTTTATGTACACAAAAACGGTTATTTTGGATGCGATTAATCGCTGCCCAGGACTAATTTTTTAAATATTATTTATTCATAGTTAAGCAGTTAAATTAGCTAAAGTACATTTCAGGCTGGCAAAATATTATACGGTGTTGTTTTGTATTGGTGTGTACAGTATGTGGTTGTGAATTATGTCTGTATTTATAGTAACCTGATCCGCGGTTGCTTCTATTGTCTTCAGTCAAATCCTTTAAGAGGGTTATAATTTCATCCCCAAACAACGCACAGCAGTTGTCAATCAAGACACGCACAAGGTCACACACCTGTGTACAGATTACATTGGCAATTACATTTACATTTTCCTTTCCTATGTCTATTACATTTCCATTCCTACTGCCATTTTCATGTTCTTTAGAGAGCAATAACGATGATTACTTCAGCTAATACTAATGCACTCTGCAGATATTATAATAATCTAGTAATAATAAAGCATGTGCGCTTACCTTTTTGGCATCTTTTTCATGAGATTGTATTTTGCGATTCCACAGACAGCTAGGTGCTATACACACAGCCAGGTTAAAAGAGGTCATCTGGTTGTGCTCAGCATTGAGCTGTATGTGGTGCAGCATCGCTATCATGTGTCTCAGCAGCAGGAGATTTTCTTCAGGTAAAAGCTGAACAAGCCTGTGAATGTGGGCAGAATCAACATATCGAAGTTATCTGTCTTCATGATTATATAACTCATAAAGCTAAAGGAAATTGGCGACTAAATCTAAATCTGCTTAAGGTGTGCAGTACTGTTATATCATAGCCTTGATCCATCATTATCAAGGTTTTATCCTTCTTTAC